CTGCGGGGGGCCCCGGGCCCAGCCTGCTTGTCCCCTCTGGCTTCCTGCAACCCCTTCTGCCCTCCAAACACTCCACCCAAACTTCGCTCTCAGTTAGATGTCTTATTCAGCGCACAACAGGGAGGGCCTCGTGGTTCAACCGCACCGGCAGCGGTTGGTGCGGTGCCAGCGCCAGCGATGCTGCGAGGCTCGGCCGCGTGCCAGCTGCAGGACCGCTCAGCTTCATCACTTGGGCTTGACTAATGTCAGCTTAGTTAAAGAGTCTTTCCTGCAGAGTGCTGGAGATCTGAAAACCCTTTAGTCAGGGATTGGTCAGAAATATAGAGAGTTGCTGTCATCCAGCGTAACACACTTGTATGTCTTCTGCCTGTGCCTGCGTGCACGTACGGGCGTTCCTGACTGCAAGCGCGTGTACTAAGCTAGTTTTCAAATCTAAGAAGCTTTACGCAGAAACTGTCCATTCATGTTTCAGAAAGCTCATCACTTTGTTATCGGAGCTCAAGATAAGTAGCTCAAGAGCTGCAGCCAGTGAAAAGATTTTCAGCAATCTCTCGCTTTGTTTCCATCAAACCAATGGGCTTAGTTAGAAACTGACAGCGTCCCCATTCTCTTTTCACACCTTCCCAGCTCAGGCAACTGCATTTTGATAGAAGGGGAGGTCCTGGGGCTCACAGGAGGGACAGAGCAGCTCCTGAGCCGTGCACACCGATGCTGGTTTGGGTCCTGGTGTCCCTGAGGGAGGCAGGCAGGGCGCTGCCACCAGCCCTGCCCCGCGCAGCCCTGGTGGGACCCGGCTGTGCTGGGGCGTTCCTGCTACCGCCCTGCCTGCTGCGTGGTCAAAACAGCCTGTTCTCCCGCTCGTAAAACACGTCCTGTTTTGGAAACTTAAATGATCTCTCTGACCCGACAGTGAGGGAATGGAGATGTCCCAGAGAGACATGGTGGGGAAAAGCCAACAGGAAACAAACAGGCCCTTTCCACTGCAGAGAGGAGAGGTGGCGTGGGAGTCCTGACGCCAGAGCCGTGGCTCTGCCCATGCAGCCCGAGCTTCCCCCTCCCTCTCCAAAGCTGGCTCCTGCCCCCCGGCTCACTTGGCGAAGTTGGCGAGGTTCTGGGTGACCTTGGCGATGAGGGTCAAAGTGCGTGCAGTGCGGTCGTCCGGGTACTCCTGCAGGAGGCTGAAGAGGGACGGGGACATGATGGCCGGACAGAGGAACCGGAGGAACAGGGAGGCACTGATCAGTCGCTCGCTGATGTCTGGGCGGCCTCGGTTGCTGCATTCTTGTCTCCACGAGGCAAAAACTTCTTTGAGCTCCCTTGGGAAGACACTGAAATGACAGGAGGACACGCGGTGACGGCAAGCTCAAGGCCGGGGTGCTCACGCTGCCCCGCAGCAGTAACTGGACACGGTGGTGTCACCCATGGGGCATGACACGCCGACTGGCACAGCAGTAGAGTCCTCTCACCCTGCCGACCCACAGCCGGCCACAGGCCCTTCTCCTTGTTTTCTGCAGTGTCCAGGAGGAGACTAAAACCGCACCGGAAAAAGCAAAGTTGTAAGAGAAGCAGCTTTATCAAACTCATGTTCCTGCTCGTGCTGGGTGCCAAAACCTCGGGCAATCGGGAAAACAGAGACATGAAGCAAACCGTGCGAAGCAGCTCATCACACGCGAGCTGTGCCACGGGGCACGCTGAACTGGCGGCCAGCTCAGCCCCCGACGACGAAGAGTATCTCCTGAAGAAACCCAGCATCACGGGACCCCCTCAGCAGAAACACCCACAGCACCGGGGTCACCAGCACCAGATCAAATCCCACTGTGAGAAGGACGAATGTGGAGCCCACCAGAGTTATCCCAGCCGTGTGACTGCCCAGACCTCAGCCCAGCTTTCCTGCATACCCCAATTCCCGCGGGTCAGCAGGCGCTGGCTGCAGCAGCCCTTATCGCTAGAGAACTTGCTGCCTGCTTCTGCTTGGCCCTCCCCAGCTCCCTGCTCCCACCCCATCCTGTTCCCAGCGTGTGTTGTTTATTCAGCTGGATATTCCCACCCACGGGAGCAGGTTGGCAACGGGTCCCATGTGCTGCCCTTGGTCCCCTGCGTCCCTGGCACATGGTCCCCTCCTGCCCTGGAGCCAGCCCTGGCCAGCAGCCGCCCTCATTGTTTCAAAACCCGAGCTGTTTACCCCCACAGCCGGATGGTACAGAAGGAGACTGAAAGAGGGGTCAGACTCCATTTTAGGCCATAAATCTCCTTAGCAAACAGTCATTTCAGAGGATGGTGTCCCCATTTTCTCGCAGGGACAATCTGGGAGAAGCGGAGCAACGGGTTTCTCGCCAGCCCGTGCTGCTCTCCAGGGCTGAGCGCTCTGTGGCTGAACCTCCCACAAGCTGGGAAGGAAGAAAAACCACTGGAGTTGCATGGCCAGAGACAGCAGCCACTGCCCAGCAGCAGCAAGAACTGGGTGGGAGGAAAACCTTTTCCAGTAGGAAAACCTTTCTCTGTCCCTCTGACGTGGGCACTGACACTGGTGGAAGCGCTCAGGAAACGCTGCCATTACGGTCAGCTTCTGCTCCAAGCTGGCTTCACGTTTTCACACTCCTGAGCTTTCTCCCTGTGCTTTTTAAGTAACATCAGCCAGCGTCTGTGGCTGGATGAATCCTCCTCTGTCTTTGGCTTGATCCCCACAATTGGACAAAGCCCTTTTACTTCATGGTGTCTGCCCAGAAACAGGAGAATCCTTTAAGCAATTTAAGGCTTGAACGATCAGGACAGGTTGTACAGTTGCTGGAAAGCAAACCCTTGAAAATGTACGCACAGGCTGCCTCCAGCCTGTGAGCACTGCTCAGCAGCACAGGCTGGGAGACCATAAAACTTTAATTGTGTACCAGCGGATGGAATTCAGTTAGCCGGCTTTATGTGACAAACGGGCCCGTAATTCATTACCCAACTTTCCAGTAACGAGCTTCCACATGCTGAATTTCTGCTTACACTGAACCTTCCCAGATGTCCAAATTATGTCATAATTATAACAATTTTCAGTTATTGTAAACCTCTTTCCTCTCCCTGACGCTCTCCGGCAGATGAGCATGCACACCCTGGCACTCTATTTAAAGCGAGATCGTTAGCTGTCAGCGTTACCTCGGCCAACGCCGCGCACTCATCAGCCCAATTAATCCCCAAGAACCGCTGAGCACAGAGGACCGAGGGGGAACCACTCAGAGCAGCAGCTCAGCTGCTCCAGCCCTCCTCAGAAAGGCACGACTCGGGGAATGAATTTCCTGCGCCTTCCTGCCTCTCCTTAGGTCACTTCTCATGCCTATTTTTAGACTGACCTTTTAGGGCTGCTCTGGGTATTTTTAGGAAGACATTAAGTCCAACAATTTCAATCCACCGGTGACTAAAAGGAGTGAATCCCTCCGGGGAGAACAGGTCAACAGCACTCCTGAGTCACTGAGTTATTAATTGGCCCAGGATAAGGCACAGGATACCTGTAAGGAATCTGCCCTTTGCTTATTTGTGGTAGATAAAGGAAGCTTGAGTGAGCTTCTCGCTGCTCGTTTTCTCCCTGAGCAGTATTAGGAAAAGCAATTCCCTTCCTGAGCTTGCAGGAGGGCAATCAGTGTCCTGAGAGATTACCTGTAACGAGTTTTTAGATCTCGACACAACAGTTGGGAGAGGAGAGAAAATGAGAAATTCTTCTTATCAAAGGCCTCTTTCCTCCAATATTATCCTTAGTTACATTCTGCAACAATAGCATTGCTACTAAATACATTAATAAAAACTAAGCCCAGACTTTTAAGCAGGAAGACTGCAAATCCAGCAGGAAGACAAAAACGATCATTCTCTCACATGATCAGGACAAGAGTCTCTGGGTACGCTACCACACAGCAGAAAGGAAACATAACTTGTATTTCTCCAAGTAACGAGAGTCACAAGCCCATTTTTTTCCCCTTTTAGGTCATCTTTGCAGGTAGCGCCTGTAAGACACCCGCGGACTCCTGGCTCCCAGGGCCGAGCAGCAGGTGAGACCATGAGCACAGCCCCGCCTGACAGCCGCCTCCACAACAAGGTACTACCTCAATCCAGCCCATTTTGCATATTTGGGCTTGTCCCAACTAGTCAAAGAACCTTCACCCTGAGAACAAACAGCCAGGAAATGCCTCGAAGCGCATACCAGGCCTTGGGCCAAGGAGGCAACCGGCTCCCATCTCCTCCTCGGCAAGCACCCCGGGGCTGGGAGAGAGAGGGGTTAACCCAGAGGAATGCAGGATGTGGAGCCAAAGAGCCACCCAGGAATAACAGCCCATCCTCTGCTCCTGCGATCCCAAACAAGAGAACATCTGCCTCCACAACAGCTCCCTGTGCTGGTGCAGCTTCCTTGCAGGCAGGAGATGTTCCCCAGAGCCTGCCTGCGGCACAGAGCCCTTCAGAGCATCCGCCCGTGCTTGGGCAGGCAGGCAGAGCCCGACAGAGCCACCCAGACAGAACCCGCACGTGGGGAGGAGACCAGGACATGCATTTCTGCCCTTTATCCCAGACTTCCACATACAGTTGGCACCAAGTCCCTCTCTCTGAACTGGTCACACTGGTGAAGAATTTTCGTGCTCTTTGACTCCACTGCCCTGTCCCTGTGTCTGAGAGCCAGGAACCCACTGAAAACAAGTGTGACAGGGACTCAGAGAGGCTGTTGCACTCCTGGAGCAGAAACTCCAAACTCTGACTGAGCAGGAGCTGCTGTCTCACCCCTTGGCCATCCTCACCCTTGCTCTGGTACCACCAGGACTCCCTCGTGTGCCGCAGGACACCGGCAGGGCCCTGTGGCTCTCCCTCCAAAGCTCTCTGACAGGCTGTCCATCAGCACAGCGAAGGGACAGGTACCAACAGCCTGAAGAGGGACCACTGCCACCCTCGCCCCCCGCATCCGTGCCACCTCTGCGCTACCTGAGGGCATGCGAAGGGGAGCGACGCTCCCCGGATACCGACCAGTAGGAGTTGATGATTTTGCAGAAGGCCAGCTCGCAGCACATTTTCAGGTTGCTCTGATGTTCAGGAAGATCCGAAGACGAACACTTGCTGGGATCCACCTCACAATTTTCATCTGATTCGTACAGCGCCTTGATAAATTCCCCTGCAAAACAGACAGTCGGTGATGGGGTTTGGAGCCACGAGAGAATGCAATTCTGTCCGTAAGCCCCAGTGCCCAAGCGGTCATCCCCCACCCCGTCACGCTGGCTGAAGAGAAGCTGGGCAGGAGAGCAGGCGGTGGTGGCTCCGGGGGCAAGCAGTGCCAAGCCAGCTCTAAAGTTCTCCGAGAGGACCCAAGGGGCAGCCGGCACTGCTTTGCGAGCTCGGAGCTCACCA